TATTACAACAATATTTCACGATCTGCTTCACCTCACTCTGTACCACATTGGGTTTCAACCACTGATTTTTTGCATGTGAGTAAGGTCAATGAAAAACTACACGGCGAATGAGAACAACCCAAATTTGAGTTTAATTCACTCATAATCGCCAAAAGTGCAGGAACTCAGCGATGAGTAAATTTGCCTCATGTTTTCCCAGGTTTTTCCAGGATTTTTAAGGGAAAAATTCCCGAATTCGAGAAAAGTACAGATTGGATTCACTCAGTCTATTAGTACTACTCTGAGACTGAATGAAATTTTCGTTAATTTTCTCATTTTCCGGCAGATTTTTTAGGTTTTCCACAGGAAACCATGAGACAAATTTTACTCATCGCTGAGTTCCTGCACTTTTGGCGATTATGAGTGAACTAAACTCAAATTTGGGTCGTTCTCATTCGCCGTGTTGTCACTCGCAGAAAATCAGAGCGCTTGGTTTAAAACCCACCGAGACAAAGCGGTGGGTGCAACTCAGTGGGTAACGCGTTCTTCGGGGGAAAGCTGTATTCAGTAACATGTGCCATGTTTGGCTACCAGTGATAGGTGGCTACAATGGTATAAAAAAATGATTTGAAGAAGGAGCTAGAAAACCCAAGGCCAATAAATGAAAAGTGAGACAAGTTTTTTTTTTTAAATCTAATAATTTGAATGAGGTCTGTTGAATAAATCAGTTGAGAAAATTAATTTTTATTTATTGATCCATAAATTGAGACCTCTCCCAAAAGTGATCCATAATTGTGTATTTAATGAATAATGAAAAAAAAACACATTTCTGGCAAGAAAAATGTAAATAATTCCCAACAAACAATCGTCTATTAAAGAAACGACTTGTTGGCCATTTTATTCAACTGCTTGCTTAATAGTACTTGTACTATTTTTAATAATAACTTCTGTTCAGGCTTTGTCCACACAAATCTGGAGAATTTATTCAACCACAACATTGAACCACTTGGTGTTGTATAAGGTATGTCGAGAAGCTTTTAATCGACTTATATGAGTTTTACAGAGTTTATACGATAATTTTTTTGATTATTCAGCGTTTATTAGACATCACATGCTTCCTTAAAACAGTGATGCTCTGTATACGCTTGATTCTCATGTGAAGTAACGTTTAATTAGACATTATTATACATTTATCAAACGATTATTCAACTGTGGGAAAATTAACCCCAAAATAAGAGGGACGGGGGACAGGGAAGGGTGTGTTTCTTAAGTGTATTGTATTTCATTATTTCTGACTTGGCTCGCACCACACAGATATTAGAAAATTTATTACTACTATAAACAATGTACCTTCCGATCACCAGCCGCTTGCCTTGTCATCTGAGCTATCCTAGAATTCATCATATGGGCAACTCAATAATCAATAAAAGCTTGCATGAAAGTAAATACCTATCAGCACTCCCGATCGCAACTCTAGCTCCTTCAAGGCCCTATGGGAATGATTAATTCATTCATCGTGAGTCATCTGATCGATGATTGCTATTTAAATTATTTATGTTCTACACAAATAAAAAAAAAGGGTTGAGCTTGGGATTAAACTCACGAACTTCTAATTGGAAAGTGGAAACAATAACCATTACTCTACTGATTTTGCCTTGTCTGAGACTGAATCAGTGTTGTCGAATAATGAATCTAATACGTCGTTTATAAAGCATTTACAAAGCATTTACAAAGCATGCAATTAAAACATGGACGCATAGTGGTATAAGAGCTATTATGCTGACTGTATTCACCTTTATTCAGCAATATTGTAAAGTAATGCAATGAAATCTAATAAAGGAGCTGGAGAAAATTTATCAGGCATGTTATTAAATCAATTGGAAACAGTCGAATTAAAGTGTCAATGTATGTAAAAATTACACTCCTTCAGTTTGTTGTTAGATCGAACTTCTGGCGTTGAATTGGGAAGACATTTAACACTTTTACAGCTTTAAATAAGTAAATTAATCAGATCAGAGCAAACAGTGGAATACATGTGCATCTATCGATCTCAATGAGCTTTTTCAGCAGATAATTCGACAACTCTTTTTATTCAGCATAATACCATATAGTACACTGTTATACAGCATTTATTTAATATATATGCTTATTTGTCACTCTGAATTGTTTGTTGGGTGGTATAAGAGCTATTTTGCTGAGTGTATTCACCTTTATACAGCAATATGGTAAAGCAATGCAGTGAAATCTAATAATGGGGCTAGAAAACATTTATAAGACGTTTAATAAAGCATTTTATTCAATCAATTGAAAACAGTCGAATTTAAGCGACAATGTATGTGCAAATTCAGTTTGTTATTAGATCAAACTTCTGGTTCTGAATAAGAAAGACAGTCAACGTTTATAAAGCTTTTAATAAGGAAATTAATCATATCAGAGCAAACGGCGGAATAAAGGCGCATCTATCGATCTCAATGAACTTTATTCAGCACATTATTCAACATCCTGTTTTATTCAGCATTGTACACTGTTATACAGCATTTATTCAATGTGTATGCTTATTTGTGACTTTGAATTGTTTGTTGGGTTACTAAACCATCTGAAAGATTGAACATTCATGTACGGAAAAGTGTTTTTTGCGTTGCAAAGAAACAGTAAAATACCTTAATTTTGATTTTTTGAAGACATGCATTCCTCTTGTGTAATCCACAATTGTGGAGGAATTACATCAAGAAAAATAAATAAAAACTGATAGGGTTAACTACCCCATTTCCGGCCTATTACGCTAAACCCACACTTAGAATTTCTTAATATAGCGCAGTTTAGCACCAAACGGAATGTTATTATTATTGATGGCTTCCAAATTTGTTCACCTTTCCGTATGTACCGTAAGATTTGATAAAGAGAAACCAATCGTTGAGATATTGTAAAAAAAAAACTAACACTGCTTCTTGACGCCAAACTCGGCCTACGGATTCTAAACTCGGCCTAACGCATTGAAACGTCAATGAATTCACTTTGGCCTACCGGATGAAGATTAACAATTGTTAACTCTGAAAACATGGATTTATTTGAAGTTTTCTGCTCGAAAGGCCCAAAATGGGCGATTAGGTCGAAGTAGTTCTCAAGCCTATACGGTTGTTAATAAAAGTATCGAAAAAAAAAAATCAGTTTTTTCATCAAATCATTTCTGTTATGCTGTCAGTCTGTTCTCAGTGAGAACAAACAGACCAAACTGCTATCAGTGAGACCAAACTGAAAACTTCATTTGATATACATTTTTCCTGTTGATAACAAAATTATTCAATATGATGTTCTGCTAAGGCAATGAGAACAAAACTGCAACAACATATTTTTGAATATTGAATGTACAGCAAAATGAGAACAAAATTTGTTATCAAATTTGTCAATTGTGTAAACTGAAATCAAATTATGATTTCAGTTTGATGTTGATATCAAAATTTGATTTAGATTTGCTGTCATCTTGATGCTGGACTTTGCTCGGGTAGGTTGTGAGATATTGAGAATAGCTGTTTTTGTATTTGTATTTAAAATAATTCGTCTGACAATTTAGTCTTAATGAATAAAATTAGAGATAATTTAACATAACGACAGCCGTTAAAGCACGAATGCACGCTGAGATTGGTTCGTTGTTCCCAAACATGGTTCGGTGAAGACTTGGTTTCATTAGCGTTGTATTCCGTTGTATTCGAATGCTCGGCACACGAAAGTTCAACATCTCAAGCAGGTCGGGGGCATCAGTTTCACCATTCAACAGCTTAGCAATAAGCAACGATTGCTGTACTTTCCGTCGTTGTTCCAGTGTGTCTAAGTCCAACAGTAGGCATCTATCAGGATACGGCGGCAAATTGTCAGGATCACTCCACGGCAAGTTTCTCAGTGCCAGACGAATGAACCGTTTCTGGACATGGTGAGGATGCCAAACGACGGACACATTTTCTAAAATTGGACGGACAAGTGCACAGTACAATGACTTCCAACAATGTGGATCCGAAAAATCCTTCGCAACTTTGGAAATAAAGCCCAACTGTCGCGTTGCTTTCGATATGATCACTGAACGGTGCAAATCAAAAGTAATTTTTGTGTCTAGTTGAACCCCTAGATCAGTCACACTGGTATGTTTCAAAGAAGACAACTTTGTTGAAAACTTCAAATCTCCAGAATGTCACTGAAAAGATTGATGTTGGCGCCATCTATTTTTAACTTCTCAGAACGGCTTCGATTTTGAGTTATTAATTATGTTCAGCTGGATTGAATTTCTGGCCCACTGTGCAATGGTTAGGTATTCAATATGTTCACAAATGTTGATGTTCCATACTATTCATCGGGGGCACCGAAAACATATCTGGATTTTTACAATTTGGTTCTGAACAAGATCTCTCAATATAGCTAATGTTCTTTGAATATAAATGTAATTTGGTGTCTCACATGACAGGTTTTTGAAATAAAATAAGGTTTTTTTAGCTACATCCGGATCATGCTCAGATACTATCAGTGTATCCAAGTTATTCATTTGAATTGATCATTTTAGAGCATGCTTTTGGCGCTACTGTATATGGACGATCAAATGTAAAATACTGTGGTAGCCACAGCACAGAGTCAAAACCTCTGCATTTTCATTGATCCATTGATTTTATCACCTGAATCGCAAATTGATAAATCATATCATAAACAAATCGTGATATCGATACCGAAAAATAAAGGTACCGCTAAACCCATCAACCTATAGAATCAACTGAGGTTGATGATGGAACTTTTTTAAAATAATAAATATGTCTGACAATGAGCGAGAACGAACATTCGACAATTGAAGAGAGACCAGAGTCGAAAATGAACATATGATGCGATTTTTGTTTCTAACATACAGCCTGCGTTAAATCAGATTGGGTGCCATTCATCAAGCAATGAAATTTTGCACACACCACATGAATCGCAATCGTAATTGAACAATAATTCTCCAATCTACAGAAACATGACCTGACCACGCGTTGATTCTCCACCAGCATAATTTCGTCAACATTGCCGACCGACTATCGCCGATGATGCGGTACAATGCCTAAGGCTACGATCGGTCTGTCCGCCCGAGTGGAATACGGCGTGCGCGAGGTTGGCATGCGGCATGCTTGATCCACAGTGCTTCAGACTGTTGGTAGACACGATCGCGAGAGGTGTGACCATCCTTGTACTGGAAGAAGGTACCGTGGGTCCGTTGTTTGAGTAACGAAATATTGGCACGTTCGAAAAAAATCTGACCACTTAAGTGACTGTTCAAGTGTGTATCTATATAGTTTAAGCTGAAGAGTTTATTTTTGACCCGGCGAGGAATTTTAGCTCGTGGATATAGAAAGAAAGAAAAAAATAAGAAGATAAAACGGTGGAACGGGATTTTTCTGGGTCTATCTTAAATGTGCCAATTCATCACCGATCCAGGCTGGATTCTATGATATTAATCCGGCAGTGAGAGTAGACTGAGTGAAGTGCCACGATACCAGGTTGTCTTTCAGTGAAATCGGTTAGACTGGAGATTTTGGTGATTGCAAAATGCGTCGAATTAGAAAATTCCATCCTCTTTTGATATGTCTGCTGTTAATTTGTAAATTGAGATCATTTTCGGCGGGCTTTCTCAATGTTTCGATGTTGGAACCAGTGCTTCAGACGGTGTTCGGTTTTACGGGAGAACTGTTTGAAATGAATTATGGTAATCCGCGCCTGAAATCGTCGTATGACTATGTGATTGTTGGTGCCGGGCCAGCAGGTTGTGTATTGGCTAACCGTTTGACGGAAGATACCCGCAGGACTGTGCTTCTGCTGGAAATCGGAAAAGGAGAAATTCCTGTATTTTCCGATCCCCCACTACTGGGCCCAACGTTGGCATCCACGGGATATAATTTTGGATATCAGACTGAGGAGCAGAAGTACGGATGTCAGGGGTTGCGAAACAAAAAGTGCAGTTGGGCTCACGGGCGAGGCGTTGGGGGTTCTTCGATTATCAACAATGTAATTTTTACCAGAGGCAGCAGACTGGACTACGACAGTTGGGCTAAGGCTGGCAATCCCGGTTGGAGCTGGGACGAAATGCTGCCTTACTTTAAAAAGCTGGAACGAGCCAACATTCGAGACTTTGGCAACAACGGGTTTCACGGACGAAGCGGTAGGCTGTCGGTGGAGGACTGTCCGTTTAGGTGAGTGTTTCATGATAACAGATGAGCATAAGAAAAAAAAAATGCGAAATAGCGCTGACACACTTACCATACAATATCTAGATAGAGCTGGAGTTAGGGCGTAACAGCCTTTGTAAACAATGACTCGATGATTTCTAGGAATTCAAGGAACGCCTACATAAAGCAACATATCCATCGAAGTATTCCCCTACTTGATGGTGATGTCGATTTGCCAATGAGAGCCATGGCTTTCAAGAAATCATCGAGATAAAGCATTGTTAACAAAAGCTGTTTCACCCTAATTCCAGCTCTATCTAGATATAGCGAGTCCAGCAATTATGTGATTATGGGATGATATCGTGCGAAGCCAGTGGGTATCTGCTTAATATTCAGACGATGTCCTACATCTTGTTGCTTTGTAGATGAAAAGTTGGATCGACAAATAGTGGACGTGAATGGTTCGGCGCAATGGATAAAGGCAAAACAATAATAATTGTGCAACCGGTATGAAACTTTGTAAAGGTCAATGAGTTTTTTGTTTTCAAACCAGTAGTGTCATAGAAACTGAATTCCTCGATAAAACATGTTTTGTCATTAAATTAACGAAATATAATGTCAAAGCTTCAATCAAATTATTGATCTTTGCTTTGTACTGCTCATTGATCTTTTGCTTTGTACTGCTGAATTTGTAGTCAATCGCTTAGCATGTATCGACTTTTTATTTTCCGTCTGGCCTTCTTCAAGCGTATTGTTAAGTAAATTGTTTCTCTCATACACAAGCATGGCAAATCATTTACATTTAATTCGTGCTTTCATTTTCATTCATTTGCCTCTAACTTTTTTCATCAAAACAATTCCGTAAAATGATGCATGGATTTTTTGTCGATATTGTTATTAGTTAAATCTTTTGTTAACAACTCAAATCTGTACCTCTTATGCATGATGAACTAGAACAGGCAGAACTTGTTATTATTTTTCTGTGAATGCAATTTACATTCACTGAAAAACAATGGTGGGTTCTGTTTGCTCGAGTTCATCATGCATAAGAGATACAGATTTGAGTTATTGACAATATCAAAACCAACTAAAGCTTCATACACGGAATTCCGTTGATGAAAAAAAAAAAAAAATAGAAATCAATGTAAATTAGGGCACGAAATGAATGTAAATGGTTGGCCATGTCAACTAATACATTATTAATACCTAATGTCATACCGCATATTGAAGTCATGCACCATTGTCACGGTCACTGAAATTTTGGATGCGGTCGACAGGTTCACATCATGTATGAGCTTTGATACCATCAAGTTAAGTTCATTTTTGAAACGCTTGTTTAAATCCATTGCCAACCAATTCCTAATCTATTTATCGATGAACCTGCTGCTGGGTAGATTGCATCAATAGATTAATTACCGTTATGAACTAATTTCAATCCTACTACCCGCGCTTTACCTCTGTGTACAACAAAACATGAAACGTAATGTTTTCTTAATATTGTAAAAAAAATATTACCATTTCAGGGAAAAAAAATTCAACGCAAATGATAGCCGCATGGACATGAGCATTATCTGTATAATAAATTATGAGAACATCCAATAAATACTGGGACGGGAGGGAGCATCAGGGCATCATTGAAGTTGTAATTGGACAATGGAGTGGAGTGCAAACCGGAGTCTAGGAGAGAATGTGTACTGTCATTTTAGATAGTTACATTTCACTCCAACAGTTGCAATGAATTTGACGCGCTCTTCTTAAACAAGCCATCCCGTGGGAAGCTTAACATGTATTGCGAATTTCGTTATTTGTTTTGTTGGATCTTATTGTTGGAAGGAGATTCTCTTATTCCCGCGGGTTTCGCGTAATTGCCTCTGCTTACGGGCCCGTCCAACCTTTTTTGGCCCTTCATACAGCAATATTTTGAATTCAAAATGATGACGGAATTTGATCTTGCTGTTGAGTGGAGCCGCATGCAGAGCAAGACCCAAGCTAGGATGGTGGCTACTTACATACATACATACAATAAATTATGAGAACATCCATGGTCGCACTTGTTTAGTTTTTGCATAGTTTTTGTATAGTGCTCATAATTATTTTACAAATAATGCTCATGCTCATAATTTGTCATCCAAGAGTATCCGTGGCATAAAGCTGATAATCTGACGCCATATGCTAATTTTTCTTTGGATTGGCATAATTTGTTCATAATAAAAAAAACCAGTGCAGAGTTATACTTTTTAAGTCCAAAGTCATCCAACGAGTTTAAAGTTCATAGAAATGCATTGTAATGCTATTGTATTTATTTCATCATACAAATACAGGTAGGAAAAGTTGATTTTCATAAGAGTGCTTCATTTAATAAAATATAATGGGTGTAAATATACCTTCCATAAATAGTTATAGGCTTATTTAGTAGGTGTAGTGTATTTTGAGCTATAGTCTAGGAATAAATTTAAAATTTGATGTTTTTTTTATGTTTTCGACTAGGTAGGTCGAAAATAAGCACTTAAGCTGAAAAAGATCTCTATGATACTATCTTTATAAGTATACTAGCTGAGTGTGCCCGGCCTTGCTCGGGATTCAACATTAGCTTGAGTTTATGTGCCGATTCAAAAATGTATGCTATATTTTTCTGTTCATTTGTATGGGAGCCCCCCCCCCCCCTTACAGACGGGGAGGGGTCTCGAACCGTCATAAGAACCTTTCCCGGCCCCAAAAAACCACTGCATACAAATTTTCACGTTAATCGGTTCAATACCTTCCGGTGCTGGTGGTGTAGTGGTAAGCGTGATTACCTCTCACCCCAGCAGACCTGGGTTCAATGCCAGTCGGCGCCGCTGGGATGTTCTGAGACATAACATCTCTGAAAAGGAAGTAAAGCCGTTGGTCTCTGGTTCATGAGTTGGTTTGTCGATAGGTAGGGTCCAGGTGTGGGAGCTGCCTCCTTGACGTCGGGTGCATTGGTACTCAGTACGGAAAATAAGATCAACGGAAAACAATGAAAAAAAATGTATTATTTATATGTCCCTTACTCGAATAGCTGTATTTATTAAACAAAATAATGAAATTAAAACAATAATACTTGGACATATACCCATTTTACCCATTAACAACTGCATATTTGTGAAATCGGTGACAGTTTTTCTGAATCACCCTGGGTAAATTTACCTTTTATGAAGCCTCTTTTTAAGAAGTAGATAACAAATGAAGCGATTTATTTTCATCGGAAGGCACTATTTCAAATCATCTGTATCGGAGTTATAATGTATATTGGTTAAATTTTTTGTTTTTTATTAAAGAGACCGTATTGGTCAAATACTATTTAAAATCATTTTAATGCAAAGAACACCAGATGCTAACAAATAACCCTTAGGCCACCCATTTTGAATGTTTCTTTTGGTTGTAATTCAACCCCACCTATTGTTTCTACCAATTATATTAGCTGAATGTTTATGTTAAATATGATTGTGTTTCCTAAACGGTCCATGATGGATGTAAACAATTCAATAATAATGGACTTAATATAGTCCATAACAGCGAAATTATTACTTTTATTGTAGGTTTTCGAGGGTAGAATCAAGTCATACTCTTATTTAGCTTATCTGTTAAAGGATAAACGTGTATATCATTGAAAACAAAAAATCTGTAACAATAATTAAAAGGGTTTCGATAATAGGCAAATTTACCCATAATGATAGGGATCAGTATCGTAATCCGACGTAAAATTGATCAACGGGGTGGAACTGACGTTTTTAGTTGTCATTTTCGATGATAAATACCAAGGGAAATATTGATAGAATTTCATCGTGAGACTCCAATGATTGCTTTGACGAGGTAATAATAACAAAAAAAGAGGTTTTACTGCATAATTTTCAATTTTATTAAACTGACGTTCAATATCA